CAATGTTTTCCCTATAGGAAACGAGAGGTATTTACATGTATGACCTATGTTGACCTCACCTGTGGAATGAATTATTTAAAATACTGATAGTCACGTGAGTTCTACCCAAGGAAACATTCCTCAAAGGTGCTCACTGAAAAGCCAGACTTTGTATCGTGCCGCTGAGAGATGTTTGTATGTGTTTGGTTTTAGAAACACTAGTAAAAGGGTAAAGAGAGTTAAGTGTCGTTCATGAAAATATCAACATTTTTTATCATCCATGCAAGACAATGAGACAGTATTGAGGTCGACCTAAATACTCTTTTTGTCCCCCGCTTGAAAATTGGGAGATATTAATTTGGGTCTGTCCGTCCGTCCTTCTGTTTGTAAAGCTTTCGTTTCCACACGATATCTCGAGAACCCTTTGAGCTTTCGAATTGAAATTTTGCATAGCAACTCCCTATGGACTTGGCTTGTACAAACATAAAATCATCATTACAGTGTGATAAATATTCCATATATAAGAATCTTCTATACACATAATAAAGAATAAGCAATCAAATCTTCATATCCATATTGGCATATTTCATTTGCTTCAGTATACATTTAATAATTCTACAAATTCAGTCAGGGGGATCCGACCCCCCCCCCCCCCGACCCCCGAACTGCGCATGGTTTAGAGCCAGGAAAGTGCTTTCACAAAAGAAGGCATGTGTTATTTGTTCAATTAGAAGAGAACAAACGACCGAGGCCTGTAAAGAATATTAAGGAATATTAATACTGTCTCTGGAACTCAAAAGATGCATTCAGTAGTTGGAGTTGAGCATGAAATACTGAAAACAAGGCGCCTCTCTTTCTTCTGTAAAAAAAAATGTATCAGTAGGGAGCCAGACAAATACGAACAGTCCTTATATGTAGATTAATGGAACACAAATCGTCTACAGTGTGTCTTTCAAAAAGAGAAAAATGTAACATGCATGTAAAATTTAAACAAGATTATATGTTAAGAAAAATTAACATAAAATTCATAATAATTTTCAAGATATTTCTTGTGATTTATAATGTTTAGATTGAGTTTATGAATTCTTAACAATAACAAAGACATCAAGCCTGAAGTCGTGCAAGATGAGCATTCAAGTGATGATCTAGAACCCTGCTCTGGTTTTGGTAGATCAACTTGTATAGAGATTATAAGAGATGTTATGTTATAACTTCATCGAATACATTTAATATCTGAATGCCAAATAATATTTACGGAAAATTACTACCATTGTTGATAACCATCATCTAGTTGTTGATCAAGAAAAAGATCAAAAAGTAGCTTGGTGGATGAGATAGATGCCACATATCGGAATCATGAGAGTGATGAGACACAAAATGTGATTAAGACTGTGGGAAGTTACCACTCCAGAATATCCGCAATTATAAGTACTTTATTGATCTGATTGATTCCCTACAAAGCTGCAAATCCTTTTCAGAACTGGAAAAAGTATGCAAATCTGAGGGAACAGAATTGGATGGAAAGTTTCCTATGTTTTACAATTAGAGAAATACACAATTTTAGCTGTGAAAAAAGAAGCAGATCAAATGGCTTTAGATCTAATGCCAACTGACATAGAATGTAATTGTACCATTTTCCCCGTGAAAACTTATGGAGATGGTAACTGTCTAGCAAGGACAGGGAGTTTGTTTTCTTTTGGGACCGAAGAGAGGAGCCAGGATTGTTGTTGAATCGGTGAATAAATGTGAGAGTTATTTGAACAGCAAGCTTTTATCCTCTGGCAGTAAAGTAGCAGAGGGGCAAAACTGGGCAAATTATACGCCCAGTATTCTGTTGATTTAACAGAGGATGCTATTCGAATATTTTTTTTTTTGAGATTGAAATAATATCCATGATCTGTATGTTATCCGTACATTATATGTCTGTCATGTTACGTTGAATGTTTGTCATGTTACGTTAAATGTCCGTCATGTTACGTTATCTGTCAGTGTCACGTAATATAAAGAGCTAAAGCCACGAACCATCGAAATTTGCCTTAACTAAAAATTAATGAGAATTTCAATAAAGACCAGAAGAGCTTATGCGATAGTAATGCGTCCGTTGTCTGTTCGTCTGACTGTAAACAATTTTTCAAAATGCTACTCCTCCTACAGTTTTGGTCCAATTCCAATATAACTTGGCACACAAGTAGATTATACTAAGATACATAGTTCTTTGCATCGGTTTTTGATTTCGATGAACGGTGTTGCCGTGGTTACTAAAAATAGAAATTTCTGTGAAAGACTTTCAAAATACTACTCCTCCTAAAGTTTTGGTCTGATTTCAATATAACTTGGAACACAAGTAAACTACACTAAGATACATAATTCTGTGCATCAGTTTTTGATATCGATTAACGTTGTTGCCATGGTTACTAAATATAGAAATTTCTGTGAAATGATTTCAAAATGCTACTCCTCCAACAGTTTTGGTCTGATTTCAATATAACTTGGCACACAAGTAGACTACACTAAGACACGTAATTCTGTGCATCAGTTTTTGATTTCGATGAACGGTGTTGCCGTAGTTACTATAAATAGAAATTTCTGTGAAATGCTTTCAAAATGCTACTCCTACAGTTTTAGTCTGATTTCAATATAACTTGGCACACAAATAGACTACACTAAGATGCATAATTCTGTGCATCAGTTTTTGATTTCGATGAACGTTGTTGCCATGGTTACTAAAAATAGACATTTCTGTGAAATGCTTTCAAAATACTACTCCTCCTACAGTTTTGGTCCTATTTCAATATAACTTGGCACAAAAGTAGTTGTTTGCGATGAATAGTGTTGCTGTGTATGAACATAAGAATTCTCTAATCCAGAAACGAAGATATGAGAAATCCATGATAAATATTTTATTTAACTGCCCTCAATCAACACATTCTGAGTTAGACGGAATAAAGTAATCATACATGTGTATTTATACTACATGACATCGCTGTTTGCACTATTCTCTGTTGAGAAGTTGATGGTTCGTTTTAATATTCCCCCTATTAAAACGAGTCATCAACTTCTCAATAGAGAACAGCTTTCCAACGATTCCAATATGAAAGTTTACCTTTTACTACCTGATTTTTAAAGGGTAGAAATAGGAGGAATGGTCCACATTTTTTTTGAAGACTTGTGATTGTCTACATAAACATTGAATTGCTTGCTTTATCATTCTGTAGAAAGGCATACATTATGCTTAATAACACCTATCCGAACGTTGTGCACTGAATTTCTGCCTTTAAATTGTCCAATGGTAAATAAGCAGGCATTAAAAGTCGATGACAATATGTGTTGTAAGATGTTTACATTGGACGTCACTAAGTACACATTTTGGCAAGCTGTTGTATATCACCGATTAATAGAACTATGGTTTGTTTTGAAGAAGACTTTAATTCAATGTTTCATTTCAGCATTTTTTCCCGAGTATTTCAAGCATTATCAATAGAACCACCTAATAAAGCAATCCGCTCAAAATGTTTGCAAAAAAATGTACAGTATTAGTTCTGTTTAATAATTACTATTCAATAAATGCGAAATACACGACAAATGCCCCCTCCCTCAATATTGATTCTACGAATTCAGTTTGAAGTAATACATGTATAAGTATATTTAAATACTATCATCAAAATTTTACGGTCTCTGTAGAGAAAAAAGTTACCAAGAAAAAAGGGAATTTAATACGGAATACATTTGAGGATTTGCACTCTCAAAAAGAAAGACAAGAGTTACATGATTCAGTCAAATATCAAATTATCCTGTATATTGTGATCAAGAATTATTTTTTAGCTTAATTCACATTACAAACCTCGAATTTTTTTTTTTTTACAAGGATGGAAAACAAATTTGTTTTCAACATGATGTTGCTGAGAAAGTACTTCACTACAAACAATAATGTACGTAATATGTTTTCATTATTATAAACAAATGTACATTATATAAGTATACAGTTTAGACATACATCCTTGCATGAAAACAGAAACGACTGAAATTAAGACACAGACGTTTGATTTTATTTTTGTTAGTATGTTTGTGGCAATGAGAGAAGAGCGTTCTTGAATCTTTGACAAATTGCATAGATGCCAAGTATATGATATTGCTTGACAAACCTTAACCCTAACACGCATTCGATTTCAATGAATTTTATTAGGAAAAAAAAAACACAATTCACTAAATTAAGTAATGGATGACATTTACATGTATACATAATAAACTGTTTTGTAAAATGTTATGGCTTTTAATTACATATTAAACTGCTTTAATGTTACGGCAATTAGGTTATGAAAAATGAATTATCCCAATAGGTTTGTAGATGTTGGAACTTAAATAGTATAAATGTATTCACAATTTGTACACACATCGTTTGATATATTTATGGGACAGGCACGTAGCAAAAGGGGGAATCGAAAGAAGTTGGCCAGTATCCCCCCCCCCTCCCGCAAAAAAAAAGGATTTTCGAGTTTGGGTTATTTTTCCTTGTAATGGTGGGTAAAAGAAAAAAAATGTAATTTGCAATGAATTCTACGGATACAATTCATGTTAACTGAGTGATTTCCACGATCATTATGCAAAAGATAAAATTCTTTTTTCGTGGACGTTTACTACAAAATTATACACATGTATAATTCTTTTACTTGATTTTGACTAAATCTTGCATTAGAACTGTTGGCTCGGTCATCTCCGTAAACTGGCCGAGAGCTTTCGGCAAACCTCGGCTGATTCCATTCCCTTCTTCAAACAAGAAAGGGGAAAAGAATAATAACAAATTGTGAAGCCTGCAAGCAATTAAAATCATTGCTATACATGGTACTGATGTACATTTTTTTTAAGATTGAAAATCTAATACTGAACAGCATTTCAACCTGAAATAAGCTTATACATTGTAGCTAAGACTAAACTTTCACTTTATGAAACATATATTGGTACATGTACCTAATATCTTTTATTGTAGCTAAAACAAAAACATTGCGTCCATCTTTTATGGCCATCTAGACCTCCCATGCACACTAAAACAGAAAAGATCTACTTCAACAAAACTTTACTACATGTTCTAAAATGATACAAATGTAAATCACCAAGTTCGACATGTAAATATCAATCGTTGGGCAATTAAAAAAATTCTAATATGATATGATTTCTAAAAATTATTTCATTAATTTAACGATTTGACACGGTGTATATATTTGTAAGGCTTGATATGGCCTTTTCTTCTACGGATTTTTTTTGCTCAAATTAGAGAAATACCCATGAAAATGACAAAATCTGTTCAATTTTCTGTCTGCATTGATGACCCTATAGGCCTTTATATGCGTTATCATTTACTTTTCCAGTTATTTTATAAAAATAACGTATTCAAACATATATCGAATCTTACAAAACTTTCTGTTAAAAAAAATATTCTGTTTGTAGGACTTTTTAATAAGAAAAATGCCGTGAAAATTGAGTCGATTTTACAAAGATGTAGTACATGTACTGTGCTGCTGTCATTTGTATGTACATGCTCAAGTCACAAATTGAAAACTTAGATTGAAATTCAACATTATCTTAAAGAACGGTAACAATTTTGCAGGATATATATTGTATAAATATGAGAAATATATTACAGTATTAAAATACAATTTTACTTTAATACTTACAAAACAACACCAAACGAAAATCCATAAAGGAAAAATACATGTTATACAGAGATGCAAGCACGCCCTCTCGTAACACTTCTGCCTAGAAAGATATTCCAAAATGGACAATGTACGTATAATGCATTAGATTGGTCATCTCAAATAATTACTTATATTTTTGCATACGTTTTCTGGAATTGGTTGTCTCTACAGCAAAATACTTAATCTGCAATCACCTGAAATGGTGATCACTAACATGTACAAGCAATAATGAAAAAAAAAAGTCAAAATTCCGTGAACCAATTGACATTTTGAAATATAAGCGCAAAAACTTTTGTAAATGGGATAGTTAATATCTCGACAAAGAAAATCTCTTATAAAAAATTCTGCCAGTGTATTTTTCTAGTTTTTAGTTTGGCATTCAATTATTTAGTCTGGTAAAAAAAATAACATTGGTCACAACTTGAATCGTTGGTGCTATTTATCATATTTTTCATATTTCATATACATGATGTATATTTAATCCTCGTCAGAAGGCCTTTCTTTTGGAACCAATATTTTGACCAACCCCCCGACCTTGACTTACATTAAAGAATGTTGACCTTGCCCGTGAGCTGCTGAAGGTCATCATTGTTTCACTTACACATTTAATTATGATCGAAATTGTAATGGATATGTTCTTTTTTAAATTACATTTTTTATAAATACTTATTTTAACAACCATATTGCTTACTTTGGAGGCTCTCTTATAGGCTGAGGCTGGGTGACAATCGCAGTCACGTGGTATGAAACACTTGGCTGGTCATTTATGCCCGCAATAACTCGCAGTCTATCAGCGAAAGTCGCAATTGGAATAACATAGTAATTTTGCAGAAATGTTCTCTTGAAAGTCATTATTTTCTTTATATGTTTTCGTTGACTTCCAAGTAACACGGTATCTGTCACCAAAAATCGGTTCTGTACCGCACTCAGTTCATAAAACTGAGTAACCAAGTCCCCGCATAGTTCGTCGTCCTGGAAAATGCATTTTCCGACCAAATTATCCGGGCTTAGTAAAATACATAAAACGAGCAGTGCATCTAGTTCATTTGTTGTCAGGGTGTAGTAGTAAGTAAAATCTGTGAGTCGGTCCAAGTTGTCGTCATCCAAACTGAGAACTTGACAAATACACCTTAAATAGTACATCAACCTAGCCCGGGGGTCTGCAGGTACTGTGACCGATGTTCCTACTCTTTTAAGGCCGATTTCTGTATTTCCAGCAAGCATTTTGTCCCCGAGAAATTAACCAAAATAGTAGCAATCAAATATACGTGTGCGATCGATAAAATTAACGTGGATCGTATGATGAAGACTTGCACCCTTCACACTGACAATATATCTTTTTGATAAATATCAGTTAACCGGATTTAAAAGTCATTGGAAAGATGCCCAGTCTTTTGACTAAAATTCTGTAAGGTTTTGGACCTAAGAATGTGTGAAAATATTTCATATTTTATTCATTGGCAATTAATCTTCATTTAATACTACAAATGAAAATGTTATACAGCAATGTAGTGATAATGGAAAAAGAATTTCACAAAATTGCAATTTTTTTTTTAGTTATATGCCGAAAAAATTTTGCAACGTAAAATACAGTTTTAATTTTGCAAAAGCAAAGTAATTGAAAAAATATTTTGCCTTGCCAAAAGTTTATATTTTAATATTGTAATATCTGTTTTTATGTTATTCCTTCCATTATGAACCTTAAAATGAAAATTATACATATTGATTTAATTTTATGATTATTGGATCATCACTACTTGTTTTTAATAAATCAATATTGATTTATGATTTATTTTATGTTTGATGCATTTTGTCATTGTAAAATTCAGCATAGAACTAGCCTACATGCCTTGGAATTGACCTCGGTAGGGTCCAAGTAGAAGTGGACTATGTTTTATTTTCACAAAGTCTTGTGTACAAATAGGTCGTTCACTGAACCCGATTTACCCAAAGACGAGTTAAACTGTTTAAACTTATTCGAGAACTAGTGAACTATTTGTCCTTGCCTAACATTTCTCGGTAAATAAATATTAAATAACAAAGATTATTAAATCGCTCGATATCAAACGTGAATTTTCAGTGAAATTATATACATGCATACATGTGTATGTCTATCGACCTTGATCAACATCGCTGCGTCATTTTAACGTCACGTCAGCCGATGTTTTCGCATGTGAAACGATCGGGAAACGTTTATTCTTCTTTCTTTGTTATCACATATGTACGGAAGCCCAATAGTGCAAACCAAAAATAAAAAATCAAGAAAAACGCAAATATTAAATCAAGAAAAACGCAAATATTAAATCAAGAAAAAACAAAATTATTAAATCAAGAAAAACAAGAAATTCTGTGAGCGAATGCTCACTAGTAATACCCCCGCTCTGATATAAATGTATTCTCTTATGTAAATGTACACATGTTCAGTTCAAGAAATGTATTTTTAAGTATTTATCTTCATTTAAAGTTAATTCTTTAACATCATTAAAGTTTATCCAGAAAGTATCCGTAACAAAACATAGGAACCAAAGCATCTTGTTAGAAATATATATACCGGTATTGTGTTTGCTTTTTACTTGATCATATACATGTACTAGTATATATAAATCTATAATATGAAATTATTTACATATAAATGTTTTATGGAATTATTCAAACAGTGTTAAATAGGTTCTTACTTATATCACGCAAATGTTCCTTTGGTTCATGGCATCATATTCAAAATAGTTTTACCCAAGGCACAGCCATATGGAGATGGAAATGGTCTGAATAATGAATGGGAATCACATTTGTAATTTCTGAATCATCAAAATGTTTGTTGTTGAAAATACGGTCAAGTGAGCCTCCTTTTCTGTGAGTTGGTGACTGACTATAATCAATAAATCCATGGTACCGAAACAATTCGTTTAATGATTAGGCTTTAGGATCTGTTAACTTCAAGTTGAAGTCGCCACATATTATAGGAGGGACACAATCTGTAGGAGTGCAACTGATTAGTCTGTCCAGTTGCTTGAAGAAGAATGCATTTTGTGTATTTGGTGGAACATACAAGAGAATGAGCATCAGACGTTTACTTGGATTCATCCTACAGGACATCACAAGACACTGGTACTGCAAATTGACACCTTCACAACGCAATTCTGACACAACACGAAATGACTTCTTCACATAGGTTGCTACTCCACCTTTTGGTCTTTTGTTTTGAACAGAATAATCTTGACGATAGAGATGGTACTCTCGACTGAGTTCAAAGACTTTCAGATGATAAACTTGAGAAGAGCCAAGTTTCAGACAAGGATACAATGTCACTGGTGCTGATGTACTGGTCCACTGAAAGGCACTGGTAGTGAGGACATAGAGAATTAATGATGAGTACACTGATTTTGAAGAAACTGTGTGATGGTGCTGTAACAGAACATGGAATACTCAATTTAAAGCTGTTATCTTTCCGAATTCTCTCCATTTCTTTGACAGTCCTGGGGTCAGAGGTGATCTTTGATGATTGAAATTCACCTAGAATGTAAAGACCTTCTTTAGTTTTGACCCTGCTTAATGCCGTATACATTTGTCCAGCTTTGAATGCTCCTTTCATTGATATCACTAGATTATCAACAGTTCTACCCTGGGCTTTATGAATGGTAACACCCCATGTCAGGGTTAGAGGAAATTGTGTTCTTTTTGCAGTTACTTTTCTATGTTTTACAGTTACCTCATGAACTGAAATAGGTGTGGATATCTCATCAGGTACAATTCGCTGAAGTTTGGATCTTAGTTTTTCATGAACTCGATGTTCATCAAAGTGAACCAACACATAATTATGTCTGTAATCACTAAATTGAGGGTCAGATAGATCTGGATGCTGAGGTAGAAAACCAGTCACTGTTCCTGTGGCAGAGTTGGTTAATCCATCACTAGTATCTACATTTGTCGTCATCATAACTCTTGCCCCTTTAGCTATTTTCAGTTCTTGCAACATTCCACCTGGTTTCTTCTTTTCATCGAATGTAATGTTTTCAATACGACCAGTTTGTTGATCTGTCTTGGAGTCAATAGCTGACACTTTAATTACTGGTGATTCTCTGCTCTCTAACATTTGATTGTTATGTTCATCAACATCTTTATTAAAAGCAAAATATGGAGTGCTTGTTTAGGATATGTTGGTGAGGAAACATCTGTTTCTCTGTTCTTAATGAGCTGTATATCATTGTCAGTATGCTTAGACGATCTAATTCTGTTGAGAGCCTCAGCGAATTCAACATCATCTTTTTGCCGCATTATTTGGTGAAGTTCCAGCACTCTAAAATTTTTCTTCCACAATGAACCATACATTGATGCAACAGAATCAGAAACTGTGTCAAACACTGGTCTTTGGGCGACTGGTGGCAGCTGGGAGAGGTCACCTACAGCTAAAACTGATACCCCACCAAAAGGCTCATCGGATGTCATAATCTCTGACAGACGTCTGTGAACAGTATACAGGTGATCAGCTCCAACCATGGAAATCTCATCAATAATCAAAAGGCAAAGATTTCCTAGTTTTTCTCGCATACTAGACAACTGTTCTCCTGAAAGTCTGATATAGTCATCATGCTTGGACTGATCAACTGGTAAACTGAATGCAGAATGCAAAGTGTGGCCTTCAATGTTGAAAGCAGCCACACCAGTGAAAGCACAGACCATGACAACAATGTCATCTTCTCCTTGGCCTACTCCCAATAATTTGTTTGCTGTCTGTACTATGGTTCTGATTCAGTGTGATTTCCCACTGCCTGCTCCTCCAGAAATGAAGATATGGAATGGCTTTGCACGCTTTGCTGTTTTATAAGTCATTGACATTTGTATGCACCATTCAACAATAAACTGGTGGATTTCTTGCTGTTCAGTATTGAGAGATACTGTCATACTAAGCCACTGCTGAGCTGATATCTTCCTACTGTCCAATTCATACTGATAAGCAACCAACCCATGATCTGATGTTTCATTTCCATGCTCAGGAACAATGGCTTCAAACTCTGGATCTTGTTGTGCTCCCATGTATCTATCTTCTCTCTCCTGTTGTTCTGTTTGTGGAGCTAGTGATGCCCAGATATCTTCAGGAGGCCCATTCTCTTATAGTTCAACAGCTTGTGAATACTCTTCATTGTTTGGTTCATAATAGTTCATTCTGTCACAAAAGGTTGGTCTACAATTGAAGTATTTTGTTTTATATGTACCATCTGCATCCAACAGGTCTTTGGTTTCATCTCTCCATGGTTTGTACAGTAACAGTATGGAGTAACAGTATTGCTCGTATTGTTTCAAGATGGAGAACTGATGAGATCTGATAATGACTGGTCTTGAACGGAGAGTTAAGGTTGTTGATTTATTTCTCAACTTTATGGATTTAGGAAGATTGTTGATTACAGTTTCTGGATCAAGTGATGCTTCTTCTAGGAGGTCTGGATCTGAGTTGGTATTTGTTTTCCGAGCATATGAATAATTTGCTGCAAAATCTGCAAGGCAAATGTGTTCAATGCAATCAGGTCTAAGTTGATATTTTTCCAGCATGCCTTCCTGAAATAGGTTTTCATCATCATCATCAAGCTCCTGTATAACTTTCATTGGTTTCAAAAGTTTTTTCCAATTCTCAGCTAAATCTGTATGAAGGAAAATGACCTGGCGTGATCCTTTAGTGAGTGGTAATGGCAATAATCTATACACTACCTCTTGGGCACTGACTTCACGATGGGAAAGGAATTTCTTAGATACAGTCTCCATCATCTTCTTTGGACCAGCTGGTGCTGAAATCTTACTAACAGACTTTGACATCACCCAATGTTTTCTCTGGTTTGCTTACATTTGATGCCACAAACGTTATACAGGCATAAACATTTGCGACATACTGGAGGTCAAGGTTTGCCTGCCAGGCTTTCATCAGGGTTGGGATGTAATTGTTAATGAAACAATGAGATGGATTACGTCTGTACAATATAGCAGACAGGCCTTGCTTTCTTTTTATCTAAGTCAATGCCTTCATATACAAAGCTTCAGGAATTTCAAGTTCTTCCAAAAAAGCTTCTAATGTAACTTCTGGATTATGTTGCACATCTTCCAGTTTACCCATAACTGCTGTCAACAACTCTGTGTAGATTGTCTGTGTTCGTTTGTCTGGTATATCCCTTGGTGGAAGCACAACTGTAGTTTTACAAACAGGCGGCTTTGGAAAACTGAATCTGCATTTTGTTCCA